AAAACCTCATAGCTCCGGAGTCCAGGGTCCGCTGAATCGACTTACTATAATCGTAACTGGAGGTTTTGACCATCAATAACCAGCCGTGGCGGCTTCACCAGCGAACGCCGAGCTCATGATCTACCAAAGTATAAGATATGCTCTGCCATAGATATGATTTCAGAGGGGCCCCACGTTTTTATTTTAGTCTAATATGCCTAAAAGCTATTCTGCCTAGTACTAAAATATTTCTGAACTAGAATGTCAAAATACCTACTTGTTATAGTGTGTGCTTAGTTTACCTACCAAGCAAACCCTGGTGTTAGTGTTCTTTCATGAACTGCCTTTCGGCCGCTGACATGGTTCATGTTATGACAACCACTACCATCAGAGATATTAATGACCGAGATGACCTACGTAGGTTTATAGGTAAGTAGCTATTTATTTATTTTGTAGTTTGCAGTGCACATAAAATAAAACCGTTTAACTTAAAAGTTTTTTTACCGATTTTTATTTATTGCTTAGTTGGGTGGACGAGCTCACGGCTCCCTGGTGTTAAGTTTTTCCTCATTAGGAAAGGCAAGGGGATCTAAGCCCATACAGCCTTGTCTGTTTTATATAATTTCAAATATACAGCAAGTTATATTACAGACACTTATTATAAATAACTTACGGGTATTATTTATATACAAGTCAAGACAAATTACAAATACAAACAATGTTTACAATGAAATATTTTTTGTTGCAAAATAGTTCGCCCATAGATAGCTACAACGTAAATGCTGTCACCCACCTTGAGATGTAAGTTCTAAGGTCTCAGTATAATTACAACGGCTGCCCCACCCTCCAAACCGAAACGCATTACTGCTTCACGGCAGAAATAGGCAGGGTGTTGGTACCTACCCGTGCGGACTCACAAGAGGTCCTACCAACAGTACTAAGTTCTGAACTAAGTTCAATTCGTACTTATCAGTTTCAATTATCACACAGGCAACTCACATGGACATATTCCCAACAAAAACATCCCTGCAATTGAAGATACGCGAAGTTCGACAAAAGCTGATGGCGCAGTCGAACAACTTGACACCGCATTCGGAGGTCAACACACCGACGAGTAAGTTTCCAGAAAATATTACAAACCTAAAGCATGGCTGTTTAGCACTTAAAAATGATCATTGAAAAAAGTTTTATATCTATAATTAGCGACCCGCCCTCGCTTCGCTTCGGAAACTGTAGTTTATTATTGATTTCTCCACTATTTAATTGATGTTATTATACATATAAACCTTCCTCTTCAATCACTCTATCTATTAAAAAAAACCGCATCAAAATCCGCTGCGTAGTTTTAAAGATTTAAGAATACATAGGGATATAGGGACAGAGAAAGCGATTTTGTTTTATACTATCTAGTGATAAAGGTAGTAATTATTTAGTACACGCACTATTGACTAAGGGAACATTGCTTTGAGACAATTCTTGAAATTAATATTGTGAAAATGAATAAAAAATGCTTAACAATAAAAAAAAGGATTTTTTGTAAATTAAGGCATAGCTGTTTTACGCTAAATTAAAATGATATAATAACAACAAAAATAAATAATATGATTCAGGTTTGATTACAATTTTGTTCAAAGATCTCTTCATTTTTGAGTAATATAAAAGAATACAAAAAACTTGTCCTCTAAGACAGGCCCCGGCGAGATTCGAACTCGCGATCTCCTGTTTACTAGACAGGCGCTTTAACCAACTAAGCCACGGCGCCACGTCTGCCCGATTCGAAATTTTATATCTATTTCTTAGGGTTTGCGATAAAATACAGTATCTGACAATATTATGTACCTATGTAATAGAATATAATTTATTATACCTATCGACTTCATTTTCGATTTTATGATTCATATACCTATATAATATTGCAAATAAAACACAAATGCTACAATAAAACTCCAATTGATTTTAAATGTTTGTAATGGTTTACAAACATAGCTATAGATAGGTACTAGATATAGTATACTAGTTATGTTCTGTTATTTTTAATGATTTGTACACTTCATAATTAATTTCAGGTACATCGTCACAATTGTTTTTGTTATAAGATTGATATTAAATTGAAATCCCCTTTAATGGGATACAAATTTTTCACTTTCAAGTTTTTAAACGCGAATCATTTGTGTACAACGCGTTATATGGGGTTATACGGGCGCGTTATACGAGAATACTCCTACACTAGAAGTTACATAGCAAGTAATCCCCACTATAGGAGCGGACACTAGTATTTGTTCCGGGTTGTTGGAACAGGTTACTGGGAAGTCGTTGGGAAAGTTGAGCTCTTTGTTAAGGAATACACGTCACTGAGTCGTCGTGGCCTAAAGGATAAGACGTCCGGTGCATCGCTAGATGCGAATGCACCGGACGTCTTATCTAGCGATGCACCGGTGTTCGAATCCCACAGGCGGGTAGTGACGTTAAAAGTGAGACCTTAGAACTCATATCTCAAGTTGGGTGGCGGCATTTGCGTTGTAGATTTTTATGGGCTCCGATAACCACTTAACACCAGGTGTGCTGTGTGCTCGTCCACCCATCTATGCAATCAATTTTTTTTTTGCTAAATACGAATTACTTCTGTTACAGATGTGAATTCGCCACTCGTGTCGGCTCCATTGCATTCCACGTCGACGGCCAGTTAGCGACGACGTTACACCATCTCCATTGTAGTGCAGGAGTGAGAGAAATGGTGACCACAATTTTAATAAAAAAATAATTATTATAATAATTTCTTACTAAATTGTTTTCAAAACAATTCGTTGTTAGAGTAGAGATGTTCTGTAACGTGTAAAGAATATGGTTGTGTATGAGGTTTTCGCACTTCGACATGAAACGTTCTAGTGAAATATATAATGCTAATGAATGCGTTCATGGTTCACACGCACATTTAAAATCATAAAATAATAAAAGAAAAAGGTTTTATTAGATTAAAACTACAAAAAAAAATCATTAAAAAGTCTGTTTTCTTAGGATATTCTGTATGGTGCGAAAGGGTTTTCATAAATATAAATTCCATTGTTGCAATGTTGTGAATTTATTATTGTGTATCGCAGTGACAGCGAACTGTGTGCTTAGTGCGAGTTTTTTAACGTTCTCGATAGCGTAAAAGTTAGCTCATATTTGTATGGAATGGGATCGTTTGCGTACGTTTGCCGCTAGGGGCGCTGTTCCAATTGCATACAAAATTGGACTAACTTTTACGCTATCGAGAACGTTAAAAAACTCGCACTGAGCACACAGTTGTTTTTGTTTTTGTATGTTTTACGTGTTTCTGTCTACCTTGTTCTAAATTTGATAAGCAAGCGTGAAAGAGGACAGGTGTTAATATAAACAGGGTGTGAAAGTTTTGTATCAAATTGGCATGATAATTTTGTATCGCACACCAAACAATACTAACTCACAGGATGGAAACATTAATCATTCGCTTACTGTTACGATAATGAAAAAGAGACATTTTAAAATTCGAATGTAACAAATGTTAATATCGATGCTTTTGTAATTATTATTTCGTTTGTAAATAATAAGCGTTTTCGGAATACATATTAATATGTAATTGTAGTGTTAATTATATTGAATTTTTTATTTTAGAACGAAACATTCTATTATGTTTATCGAAAGAGCCCTATATAAAGTTTGGTAAATTTTATCAATGGAGAAATTTAGCCGTGCAAACGTCTGGGAACGTTTTGCAATGTCATTTTGAATATGGAATGGAGCGTGATTCGTCCGCAATCTATCGAATTGTTTCGCGGAACCCGAAAGATTTGACGAACGATTTTTTTTTTTTTTTTTTAAGAACATGCCGAGTACATCGTCATTTTGGCACGATCTCAGTACATTTTACATGTATAGTATTTTAAGCGTGAACGGTGATGTGTGAGTGTATAAATGAAATCGCACACATACGTAACCTGTGTCTCTTGTCACAGATTTGGTATTTCCGTACGCCAAAGTAAATAAGTATTTCGTTTGAATATTCTCAAAACAGTTAATCTTTTAATAAATCGTATGTAGAGTATATACCTACATTTAAAATTTATAGTTAAAGCCATATAAATAATTCAATATCAATAAATTTTGTTGGGTAACATGTCATATCTTACATACAAATAAAATACACTGTGTTTTAATCAAAACATATTAATATACAAATTATGGGTTAATTGGATAAGTGCAATTATAACAGTTGACTAAATGTCGAATCTGTTTGCTGTGGTGATTTTTATATGTAGTCAATAATTATTGTTAAATCGATCCTGCATTTATATGACTATAGTATAATATAATCTTGTTATGAAGTAATGTTGCATAATGTTTGATACATGGCAACATTTGATTTATGAAAGTCACGGTTTTGAGTTTGCAACAGATCATGTTTTCCTAATAATCATAATCATTAATGGTTTTTGTTTGTTTGCTCATATTAAAATCAACATTTGAATTAACCTGTTAATGACTTTCCTAATTAATTAATACAAAATTAGAGTCGAACCGTAATTTTTAACGAATAGAAATTGATCACAGAAAATGGTGCGATGTGACAATATTGCATGTACGTTGTGTACATACATTACGACAAAGTAACGATATATGTATATTATAAATAAATATTGGTGCATTCATGTTATGTTATTGTTTAAGAATATTTTGTATCGTTTTCTATATTTATGTTGTGATGTTAGTCTTCCATGTGTTTGAATAGATTTTTTTTTGTGTTTTTTATCATTTATTAGATGCGCATATTTATTTAAATACTTTGAAAACACTTCGGAGTTTAACATGAAACTTTGCGAGGCACGTGTTATCGTGCCGAGGTTAATATTTAAATTTAGCTTAAAATGAATATAAAATGGATATAAACTTTAATTGCAAAAAACAAAGTTTAATAGAAAGCATCATTAAAATGTATGAAAATTTAATTATCCATGAATTGTTTATATACAAACAGCTCAAATCATTAACGACACTAGATAAATGAAATACGTTATAATCTCATTGTAAATATTAGAAAAATAATTCTAATTNTTAATATTTAAATTTAGCTTAAAATGAATATAAAATGGATATAAACTTTAATTGCAAAAAACAAAGTTTAATAGAAAGCATCATTAAAATGTATGAAAATTTAATTATCCATGAATTGTTTATATACAAACAGCTCAAATCATTAACGACACTAGATAAATGAAATACGTTATAATCTCATTGTAAATATTAGAAAAATAATTCTAATTAGTGCTAAGTATTCCCGGCTCTCAAAGTAATTAGGGATTTTCTTATAATTTAGGTAATGCTAATTCTTGTAGATAAATTGAGAGAAAAAAGAGAGAAATATGTAGTTTATATACTCATGAAATTTTCGGCCAATAAAATATATGTGTATATATCAAAATTGTATTTTTTAAATGATCTCTTTGGGACGATAATTAATAGTTTGTACATAATTGCTTTAGGAGTCTGGAAATGAAAATGAATTTATTAAATAAATATAAGAGATATTTTCGCACTGTTATAATATTCCTCTGTAATCGCGTACATATTAGTAGTCATACCAAAACTCGGCATTGTTGATATTCTACAGAAGATCTGTGAATTTTTTTTTTATTTAATTTTTCGTTTTACAGTTTTTGGTATAATTCTAATACTACGCGTCAGTCAGTTGAGTCGCTTCTTAGTTGTCCTACGTTTTTTTTTAAATCACATTATATAGTGCTGTTTTGTTACCAGTTAACCAATAGTAGAGATGCGTATTGTGGGATGTCGATTTCACTAGGATCGATCTTTTATTTTCTAATTATATTCATAATGATGCTTAATATTCCAATGCCTGTTTCCCTTAAGCTTTTGAGATACCGCTTTCATTTATACAGTATAAATGTTTATGTATATACATATATATTTTTTAATAAATCGGTGATTTTATTTAATGCAATATATTTAGTTGCGATTTTACGATTTTTATTTATATGCAATCTCTTCGTTTGTTTTCTTATAAGTACACAGTAAATTACTGTACTCAAATTATGTAGCAACACACTCTTCGAATTTGAATTGTTCAATTAGAGCTCGAGGACTACAACTTTAATGTGTACACGACTTTTATAAGAAAACGACCAATGTTATTTTTATTTTTACTTCCATATAACATACAATCTGTTGCTTCCCATACATAACATAATAATAATATTAATTGGAGAAATAGTTTCGTGATTTACTTTTACCGTTGTTTGTATTGAATGTTTCGATTTGTCAAAAGCTGTCCATCTGTCTTTTTAGTTTTCCCTTGTTGATATTTTGTAATAGCGAAACTGGTTGAGTTTGTGAGCGAAGTGTCTATTGTTGTTTTAATAACAAATATGAAACGAATGTGTATGCAAGCTGCGTATTGCTAGTGCCTTATTGACTTTCGAATCTTAGTGTGTGACTATGGAGCAATAATATTGTATCATTTTATTTCGATAAGTGCTATTTCTGTATCTCCTAGGCTTTGTCAGTCAATAAAGAGTGGATAATAAGCAGTTTTTTTTTATTAGACTGAATTAATTTTGAAGCATGTAACAATTTAAAGTATATTTTAAGAAATGTTAGTAGTTATTTGAAAAGGGATATTTTAAATGAAGCATTTCATATTCGTTATTTATTTCTACACAAGGCATTAGTCTTAGTTGTTTAGTCGGAATGGCGTAAATGTAAATATCTTGTTTAGATGTTTTATTTAGGTTTAATAATTATCGATTTAATGTATATTAGATTGGAAAATAGTGAAAATTTATGATGTGAATGTTTTTGAACGAAAATTATATGAAGGACCAACAAATGGCACTGTTATTCTCACTGTCACTTGTATTACATCGAAGCGGAACACGAACGTACGCACGTTTTCAATTTATCAGCATTGTGGACAGTTTGTTGGAGCATATTGGATCATTGTACGAACTTATGTTAAAACATAAAAAAATCCTTAAAAACAATGGTGTTTTTTATTAATATTTCTGTCCTCTCGAGCACATTGTAATGTATTATCCAAGGAATATTTATATATTAAAGATATTTCGTTATTTTTTGCAAACAATACCAGTTTATTTACAAACAATGTACCATTCTTTATTTACAACATATATTAACTAAAATACACACTAAAAAGTCAGTCAGCTTTTATGAACAAATTTGGATTGTTTTCTTCTAACACTGACAGTCCTGCTTGAAGAGCCATGTCATCACCAGGATCAGAGACAAGTAAGTATTTCAAAACCTCCATTCTTGCTAATGCATTAATACATCCAATGCAAAATTTACAACCTCTAATGTCAAGATATTCCAAGGATTGGCCTGACAATCCCGCTACTCTATCTAAGCACCAAACATCAACGTGTTTGTTATTTCTTAAAGATAACCATTTCAATAAATTGAGACCTTTTAGATTTTCTAGGCCTTCATAGCGAATGCCACCGCGATGGAAATTTGAGCAGTCAATAGCTTCAACATAATAACCCTCAGTATAATGATCTGGTAGTTTCAGAGATAGTATATCACCTTTCAACCAGTCGCTTGAATCTTTTAATCTGGAATTAAAAAGTTATTATTACATTTAGTTTGTTAACAATCAAAGTAACAAATAATAATAACAAGTAACAAATAACCAGCATAAACTAATAATAAATCACACATTGTATAAAAAATGTGTGAAATAAAAGCAATGACAACAAGCATTCCTCAGCCTNAGTTTCAGAGATAGTATATCACCTTTCAACCAGTCGCTTGAATCTTTTAATCTGGAATTAAAAAGTTATTATTACATTTAGTTTGTTAACAATCAAAGTAACAAATAATAATAACAAGTAACAAATAACCAGCATAAACTAATAATAAATCACACATTGTATAAAAAATGTGTGAAATAAAAGCAATGACAACAAGCATTCCTCAGCCTCCTCAGTTTCATGTAAAGGTTAACAACAGAAAAACTAGAATGTTCATTTTATAATGGAATTGAGCCACTGAGAAAATTATTTATTTTAAACATTTTTTAAAATGCTCATTCCTAGTAGGGAAATTTCCCAGCAAGTATAGTATCTAGATTTCTTAAACATCATAATGTGACTACTGTACCAATTTTCATACCTCATCTTTATTACTTGAATTGTAAAATTAGCACTTTAGTTTTTAGAATAAAAATTATTTTAAGTTACTGAATTATATACCTGACAGCAGCATGTCTGTATGTGAAGAAATGTAATGCAGCCAAATTGAAACCCAAAGCAGCAACTCTTTCATGGAGATACTTCTGATTTTCCACTTCTTGAATGTTTCTCATGTGAGCCCACCATTCTCTGATTATTTTCAAATTTAAATTTGGTATTTGTGACATAGCGTATAAAACGTCTGGACTAGGATTTTTTTCTACAAAAACTGATAATTTGCTTCTCCATTCTCCTTGCCTCTCAATCCATGGTTTCCTCCAATCAGGATAGACTTGGCCGTGAATTATTCGGGGTTGTGGACCCTCTTCATTTTTTTGATAAATTGATTTATTGTCGCAGTACGATCTAATGATATGGATAGTAGACCGATACGAGCGTACTACTGACTTTATGATTAAAACCATGTTGGAGTTAAAAAGGTGTACGATATCTTACACAATCATATTTTTTCTAATAAACTTTTTTTAAATAACAATCATTTAATGCAACATTGCATACTCAATGCTTATTGGAGACCTAGAAATGTACGTCATAGGAAATACACTTAAAATATCTTTAATATGTCTTATGAAAGGCCTTTCTATAACTTTACTCTGTTTTCAGGTTATCTTTTTTTACGGATTTTTACCATTTTACGTTTGACATATTTGAAAGGTGACAGTACTGACATTCGAAAATTTGATTTCAACATAGCCCAAAGGTTAAAGCCATGAAGACTCGTTAGGTTCCTTTTTCACGCGCCGATCGTTATCGCGTCCGTTTATCTTCCACCGGATAAGATCGTTCTAAGCAGTGATATCGAGGCGCTGCTCGGTATGGGGAGCTCTGTCATTCTGGCGGGCGACCTAAATTGTAAACACATCAGGTGGAACTCACACACCACAACCCCGAATGGCAGGCGGCTTGACGCGTTAGTCGATGATCTCGCCTTCGATATCGTCNAAAAAAAAAAAAAAAAAAAAAAGGTTCCTTTTTGTTTCTTGGTTATATCGGCTATGCTTTGAGGTTTTTCCTCCGTGTAGCACCTCTACGTAGCCGTATAATACATTTGTTTATAACCCAGGGATTTTTTTAGGAAGCTCAGTGTCACGCAGCGAGCTATGGAGAGGGCTATGGTTGGTATTTCTCTACGAGACCGAATCAGAAATGAGTAGATCTGTAGAAGAACCAAAGTTGCTGACATAGCCCGTAAGATTAGCACGCTGAAGTGGCAGTGGGCAGGCCACATAGCGTGAGGATCGGACCGCCGCTGGGGGGATCCTCGAGTGGAGACCACATAAATGGCAAGTGCAGTGTGGGACGGCCACCTACGAGATGGACCGACGACCTGTAAGAATCACTGGGTTACGTTGGATGCTGGTGGCAACGGACCGGCCGCACTGGAGATCACTTGGTGAGGCCTATGTTCAGCAGTGGACAGTGGACAGGCTGAGATAATTGTAACCCAAGTTTAAAAAAAAAAACTTTACTTTAAGCTTTATCTCCAAAATTCCATTTAATCTGTGCCATGCAAGTAACAGAATTACCGAAAACTCTTTTTTTTCTCGTTGAATGTTTTTTAACCACTTGTCTAAAATTTTGCTGATAATGACGAATCAGTCAAAGCAACTTTTATAAATTTGATTAATTTTGAATTTTCATTAAAATAATTCATAGCAAAGGGCTCATTTAACCAGGTTTTTAAATTGTTTTAGACATTTTTTTTCCTACCTATGCTGATAGCTTGAGAGGCTATTTCAGCTTTACCTTGACGTGTAGGTGAGCTCACGGGCTCTACTTGAGAGAATTTGCTAACACCAGCCTTAGCAAGAGCAGTGCTTCGCAGAAAGTACGTCTGTATCGAAGCCGAGCCACTGAGAAGATCCGACCAGAAATTCGGTGGACTATGAGCCTCTGTAGGTAAAAAGAGCACACCTACGTGAGCCCTAAGTGAGCGTTTTCATTAAATTTCATTTGAAGCAGAACCATATGGTTTCTATAATATAATCTTAATAATAATTAAAGAACTAAACTAATACTAATTCTATATAAATTAATACTAAATTTCTAAATAAATGTTAATTGTTATGTACATAATTATGTACCGCCCTACCTATTGCTAGTAGCCCCGAAGGAATAGGATAGCTTCGTTGAACACGATCTAGATGTCAAGCAAGCCAAGCCAAGTAACGTAAGTATTTATTTACTCTTTGGTACATCCTTAGAAAACATACCCGAAGAAATCATAGATTAAAATCGGTTGAATTCCTCTCAAACTACAGTAATGTTTGTCTGTACTGAAATATACATAAAGAAAATCAATGCACTTGCTTAAATAAAGTTTTAATCAAATCGAAACATGGGGGCGTCGGATTTGATTATACACAATTTCCAAGTTTACGTGACAAGTCTCGTAATGAGATCGAACAATGTGCCATAAATTTCGGACCAAATGTTAAAATGTTATAAAAAAAAAACCTAATCACAATTCTTGTCTATAGGAAATGTCTTTTATTTTAACACTAACATTATCCTGTAATTAGATTGATATTATATAATAATGTAAGCTTTGCGTATTGGTTTTCGTTTCAATTATTATCAATGTCATCAAACAAAAATATAATTCAAGCAAACGGAGACGAAACTCAATTTAATTTAGTCGCAGCATACAAAATTAAACTATAAAATCTCAAACGCACTAATTTAATCCTGGCATAAAATAAAATTTTCACTCCGACCCTCAGTCGAAGTTAACTTTCTCTTAATTAAACACGAAAATTATTAATTTTGTCAGGTGGGTTAATGAACAAAAGTCGTAGCCGGCGCGATTGCGTGCTGCGAGTGTGGCTCCATTCTACCAATATCGTAGTTAATTCGATTGTGCCTGCGGTAATGCGACGCGGTACCCGCCCGGAGTAACAAGATCACCGGTAATGCAATTCCCTCTTCTCTCTTGTTTGGTGCAAGATTAGTCTCCGACCTGATGTGATTCTGTTTTAAAACTAATTTCAGAAATTGAACAAGTTTAATAGTCTTAATTTCCTTTTGTACGAGCAATTAAAATTTCCAAGAAAACTCAGCTATTTTTTTAAATCTATTCAAAGGCATATCGATGAACATACATTTGTAAAAGTGGCCCATTTAATTCAATAAGTACACTTTTTTTTTCTTCCTACCTAAGCTGATAGCCTTGAGAGGCTATTTCAGCGTAACCTTCACTAGTAGGTGAGCTCACGGGGCTCAAACCGGAGTGATGCTAACACTGACCCTAGCAAAAGCAGTGCTTCGCAGAATCTACCACCGGATCGGAAACGCGACCCTCTGAGAAGATCCGGCTAGAAACTCAGTGGGCTGTGTCTGTGGGTTATTTCATCACGAGATGTAATTTTCACATGCAGCTTAAAAGTATTTAATTGAATGCTCAACATTCGCGTCACGGTATGTTTTTGTATCGCTCGATTCAGATAGTTCGTTTAATCGTTATTTAGGCAGGCAGTTGTGCCGTTTTCAATGAATTTGCATGAACGTTGATAAATTATTCCGATGACGTAGCAAAATAGACTGATTCAGTCGTACAGTTAAACGCTTTTTTTTTCCCCGACAATTGTTAAATGGTACGTTTGTTTGCGAATTGTGCCGTGAATTCAGAATCGCCTAAATTATGTAATTTAGATGGTTTTTTTTCTATAACATGCAGTCTTAGGTTAAAGCCTTTTCTGGTGTCCGAAGAAACTTGGTTTCAGAATCATTAAGTTAACCTGTAAACTAAGCGGTAAAAAAGTATGACAATGTATCTTTAAAATTTCAAGACCCCCAGTTCGCAGTTTTTAAGTCACAGAATTTAATTTTAGACTATTCCTTAAATTAAAGTTATTGAATGGCGTACAGAAAATACTGAAAACATATATGATAATTGGAAATTTGGAAATGACTCTCTAAATATACATATAACATACGGATTATAAACAAAATCTATTTGGAGAGTTTGTTTCTATGTTAGCTGCGGCTCTGGTATTCGTGGTGTTCACTCCACTTACCGCGCGGGCGGGCTGTATTGTCTTCAGCCTTTTAAAGTGACAAAATAACAATGCTTTTACATTTTTCAGTTTAACGGCTCATTGTACGGTCGAGGTATCCCAAGTCACGCAACGACGTAGCAAAATATCGTTCAGTTTTTGACAATCGATCGTCTGTAGAATAACACATATTATTGTTTATTTCAATACAAACGACTTGTCATTGTGCTTATTGTAATAAAAAACAAAACTATTATTAGTTATATTCCCATCGGTTTTCGTGAATCGTAGATATAATTAAAACTATTGCGTACAAAATTGAAATGTCGACGAAATAATAACAGCGTCGTCAGTGATTTCAAAAATTATTCGAGTCGTCGGAAATGATATAATAACAATAATAAAGGTGAGATTAAATCGTAAAAGTATTTCTGTAATAGTTTTTTTTGCTTGATCTTTTTTTTTTGGGCAGGAGGAAATCGCCGCACTTCCGCCCTCCCCTGGGGATGGAGGGCGGGGCATGTCGGAGTCGAACTGGCCAAAACCTCCTGTCGCTCAACAGCCCACGTCCGAACCTCACATGAGACAGAACTCATGAAAAGGCAAAGGGGGGAAAGTGAAGCGCTTAGTGCGGAGCACATCTCTCCCATCACCCTCCCCGTCTTTTGCTTGATCTGGCGTAGAAATAAATCATTCAATAACCAAAAGCCGCCGACGAGTGTAAAAAAACTTAATATGTATTTGCACGCAAAGCTTTGCTGGAAATCATGTAACATCAACACAATTTTCTATAGAAAACCATCGAATATATAATGATATATATTGACAACTTTCATACCATTTACCAGCTGACTTATGTACGATATTATGACGTTATTGTGTCTCCGGGAACATGTTCCCTCAAGTATCCATCGTTTGGAAGCTCGCCAGACAGTCGTGACGCAGCCTTGCGGTCCATTAATCATAATTCAATGATGTCCAGCTCAGGATTGGCCCATTTTTAGAATTCCGCACGTCGAATGAAATTGATGTCATTATTCGTAGACTATATGTGATTCTTTAAATTAGCCCTGATAGTTTTCTAGATCCGCAAAAGATGAGACGAGAAAGAAAAACATATTTTGTTTGTGATTATTATTTGGTAAATTTAATTGCTGAAATAAGCTGGAATAATTACAATTCAATTACAAAGATAAATGATGCGTTTTATTTGCTATTAGCATCAACAGTTCAATATTTTTAATTGAACTTCAATTAAGTTTACCCAATTGCTATTTGAGCTGATATCAAATTTTTCCCAAATTTTAGACTTTAAATTTCTCTCCTGTAAAATTATAAAAATGCCGCTTAAGCCAAATAGCCTTTCATCCCTCGATATAGGTGTTGTCATAACATGAACGGAAATATTAGAACTCTCAGATATTTGAACAATAATACGCGTGTCCGTCACATGTCATACTTTTCAGATTGTTAGTACACAACTTTTATCATGGAGGCAGCTAAAGTTCGCTGACAATATTGACAATTCGCCTTGAGACATTCGGAGTGTCATAGCCGGAGTCTCAATTTCACTATGCAAAGTCTGCCAATAAGATTATTATGCACAGCAATGTAC